CATGACAGCATTTGTCCATGATCATGCCCTCAACTTATAGTTGAGTATCGTGGCTCTTTGGCCTGGCCCATTTCGATGCCAGGGTAGCTCACCGCTTGCCCTAGGTCCATTCAGTCCCTTGTCGGGACCCTGCTTTTGGGGTGCTAGGAACTAGGGCAACTGAGTCAAGAAATCAGATGCCTAGGAGTAAATATTATTCGGAGTCAATCAACTCCCAAGTTACAAAGCATAATATTAACTGTCTTCCTGTGTCCATACAGAAAGGACATTGCTTACAATACAAGTTCAGTGTCCTTAGATGGGTGTGACCTGACAAACCTAAGCTACCTAAGGAAGGACAAAAGAGTGTTATCCTACAAGGGTCCACTCTATTTCAGAAGGGTTGAAAACTAGACCCTTCCTCATGTTGCTGTCAGGCACCTCTCTGGGCATGAATGAAAACGAAGCAAGCCCAAGCTCACGGCAGATCAGCCTTGTCTGGAAAAATCAATACAGGTTCACCCACATTATTTAGTACATGAGTTCCTCAAAAGTTAGAGCTAAATCATTTTCTTCCTCTCAGTTCAACATATATTAAGCACCCAGAGTCAGCTCAAGATTATTCTGAAGCTACAGCACACACACACACACACACACACACACACACACACACACACACACACCACACCCATGACTCTTGCTTCAGTTTCACCAAGCTGCATCACCAACGCACCAATGCACCAAAAAAGCATGCTAATGGCATTACGTGGTAGACCCTCTTATTGAGAACTTTTTTAACATGGGAAGAATGATTTTCTAATTCACATCTTATTTACTTAAAGATTTGCATTGATCAATTTGTATTTTCACAGTAAAAGCCATTCTCAGTTCTACTCTGAATGAATATTTGCAATCTAAATGAACACAATCCTAAGTGAAGATGTATCTATACCAGGAAATCACATTTGTGTGGGCAGATAACTCAAAGGTTGTGTATAACTCATCTATTTGCATTCACAGGTTGCCATAAAAGGGTATTAAAGGAGTCTTTATCAGGGCCATTTCACAGGGCATGCCTTTGAGCCCTTACAGATCATGATTTCACCTATTCAGTATCTGAAACCTTCCAGAATCACTCCAGAGCTTTCCAGCACAGAAAACTCCAGCAATGAAACCCAGACAATTTTAGCCTGCTTGTTTCCATCACTGACACGATCTCAGACCCCACCAAAAGGTATATTCACCCTCCCAAGCATCCAGCCTGGAGGTCCCAACTTAAGTCTCTTTCTTTCCCCAACAACCCTCATTTTGTTATTACATGTTCAGCTGGATGTTCAGCTCTGAAATCTGGTTTCTTCTTTCCAGATTCCCCTCTCTACCCAGATGCTTTGTCCATCTTGGGGACATTTCTCTGACTCACACTTGCTAAGGAGCTCCTCTAGAGAGGACACTGGGCTGGGGGCTAGAGGCACACACTAGGATATGACTTGCACCCTCTGTGAACACAGTTGAGCGCAAGCTGCCAGGAGATTCAGCTAGATGCAGGTTTCAACTGCTGGGAGGGTGTTTAATTCTGACAGTGAAACTGAGGAAGAGGTTTAGCAGTGGAGCACTCGCCTTGCATGTTTGAGGCTCTGGGCTTGATCTCCAGCACTACAAAAGATAAACCAAAATAATTTAAAAAGAAAAGAAGGGAAGAGAGGAAGGAAGGAAGGAAGGAAGGAAGGGAAAGGAAAGGAAGAGAGGAAGAAGAAAGAGAAAGAAAGAAAAAGAAAGAAAGAAAGAAAGAAAGAAAGAAAAGAAAGAGAGAAAGAAAAGGGGGAGAGAAGGTGGGAGGGAGGAATGAAGGAAGGAAGAAGTAAAAAAGAAAGGCTAATATAAAATGTTAATACGAGAAAACTAGATCTTAAATGTAAGGAGAGCTGTTTCTTAACACCCCCCAGTAAACTCCTCTCTTGAACCTCTGCTCTGAGGAGCTTGATATTCTTCCTGTCTTGTGACTCAAACATAATTCCTCTAAAACCTCATGCCTCATGTTTTCAAAATGGGGTGCTAGGTTTTTCACCTGACATTTCTCATTTTCTTTTTTTTTTATTTTTTATTTATTTATTTCTCATTTTCTAATATGGTCTTATTACTCTTTAGCTTTTCAAAAAATGTCCATTATCCCTTTCAAGATGTATTTATTTATTTCAGTTGGGTTGGGTTGGGTGTTTTTGCTTTGGGGCCATGCCTTTGCTTCAGGGCTTACTCCTGGTTCTGTGCTCAGGCTCATACCTGTGGTGGTGGGGCTCGAACCCCAGTCAGCCCTATGCAAGGCAAAGGTCTTCCCCACTACACTGTCTCTTTGGCCCTCCACCCAGCAGATGCTTCTTGGCCAACCTGTACTGGGTTCAGTGTGAGGTCTGATGATATGTGGGTTTACTTAACATTTGTTTGACATTTCCTTAGGGGGTGCTGGTGGGCCAGGGCTGGGGCACTGCCATGCTGGTTGACCCAGTGGTGCAGGCCTGACAATTCTGTGCTCAACCCGGTGGTGCTGCAGGGTGGGGAAAGGGACCAGGGCCACACCCAGAGGTGCTTGGGGCACCATGTGCTCCTGGGCATGTACTCAGGGCCTCCCACATACAATGCCGTATTCTGCCACTGAAGTTACCCTTGGGCCCTGTTTGGCTTTTTTTTTTTTGAGGGTTGCTGGCAGGGGGGCTTCCTACTCTGTGCAAGGAGGCAATAATAATAATAATAATAATAATAATAAAATAATAATCACTTCATGAAGTGGAACGTGTACGAAGTGCCTGGCACAGATATCATTGAATGTTAGCTATAATTAATATCAATTTCCATCTTCTAATCCCCAGTGTCTCGCTGTTAGTAAATGCTTAATTAGGTGAATGGATGGAGTTTTTTTTTTTTATAGTAGACAATTTATGCTTGGGGTTCGACCTGATTTTGGATCATTAAGTCTTCAGCAGAAGCCAGGGACGCTCTGATACTAGTTTTCTCTGCGACGTTTCATCCCAGCTCCGAGAAATTGATCTGGTTGTCTCATGAAAGACAACAAAAACCCGGACAGATTCGAAGCTATGCAGTCTGGCAATGGTCCTTCGGATCACGTGGCACGAATGCACACACCTGGTGTGGCCGGCGCCTTGGGTATGAGCAGCATCACGGTGGTCTGTGGCCACAATGATTTCCATTCTCCCTGGCAACGATTTCCATTCTCCCCGGCCGTTTCACTGCACGGTCGGGACTGGCGCCGGGGGCGCAGACTCTGCAGGGCGTGTGGAACCGCGGAGGAGGTGGGCAGGAATCAGGTGGCAGCCACGTGGGCCCCTTCCGCCCGCTCTCCACATCCTTTGTTTCCCACCAGCCCGGGCTCAGGAAGCTCCTTCTGCGAGTCACCGCGAAGGGGCGGCCGGGGAGCCTGGAGAAGCTATTTCCGTGCAATCCGGGCGGGTGGCAGGCGCGGGAGGGGCGTGGAGGTGGAGGCAGCGCAGAAGGCCCTGTGTTTGCTTTTATTCCATCCAACAGAAGGTTCTATTTGTGGAAGCGAACAGACGCTGGGGATTAAGGCTGGGAGGGGGGGGCAGGAAAAGAAAAAAAAAAGCCACATCCACAACCACGCACAGGTCTTCCCCGGAACTACGGCGTGGGGGTGAATGACTGATTCTGGAATTCATCACCTTCCCTCCCCCCTCCCCTTCCCACCCGCTTCCGCCGGCTGCAACCGGACTTCGGCGGTGCGCAGGGTTCCAGCCAAGGGGCTGGGCGAGAGGGCTGGGCCAGGGATGGGTAAGGGGGGGGGGAATCCCCGGGGCAAAAGGCGTCCCCGCGGGGCAGCGGCGGGAGCCCGGAGCCTCGGGAGCGCGCGCCCGCAGTCCCATTGTGCTCGGTGTGAATGGGGCGCGCGCACCAATCAGCGCTCGCCCCGCCCCCGAGGCCCCGCCCCTCCCGCCCACTTCCCCGGAGCCCCTGACGTCACGGGAACTTTCCCTCCGCCCCCTCCTCCGCTTCCAGCCCCTAGTCGGGGTCTGCCGGAGGGCGCGCACCACCGCCTGCCCAAGCCTAGCCCGGGGGGGTCCGTACGCGCGCGCTGCAGCCCGCTGGGGACGCACCTCCTGCGCCGGAGCGCGCACCGCTCAAAGCATCCCTTAGCCCTCCCGCTGCAGTCCTCTCCCTAGCCGCCCCGGCTCCACCTCCCCTGACCCCCCCCCCCCCGGGCCCCCCCTCCAGCCCCACCTCTACCCTTCCCTCCCGCTCCGGTGACTGCTCGCCGGGCTGCAGGGCCCGAGTCCTGGCAGCCACCTCATTGCACAACCCGGCTTCCCAACTGTTTACACAGCCCGGCCTGTGAGTGTGTGTGTGTATACAGCGTGAGTCACCAGGAGGCGGAGGAGGTGGAGGAAAAGGAGAAGGAGTGCACTGGCCGGGATCGGTGTGGCGCACACACTCACTCACACTCAGTCACTCTCTCCGAGCGCGTCTCGCCCGCTCGCACACGGACACGCACGCACTCAGACGCCGGGGAGTCCAGGAGCGCGCAGGAGCCTGAGCACCGCGGAAAAGTTGCTCGGGCTTGCTCTCCGATTCTTCTTGCTTTGGGAAGTGCATTATTTGCTCGGCGTCTCTTGTCGAGCCCGCTGGATCCTGCCCTAGCGCGCCTCCGGATCCCGGGAGCGCCGGCCGACACCGCCTCTGGCTTCGCGGATTGTCCCGGCAGCGTCGACAACAATAGCGGCGGTCGCCCGCTGGCGAGACGCGCCAAGCCGGTGCCTGGCGGGGTCCGGGGACCCGAGCCCGCCTCTGCCTTCCGGACGCGCGGCCAGCGAGATCTCCGCGTGCAACTAGCGTCCGCGAGCGGCTCTGAGCCCCTCGCGGGGGGGGGGGCCGAGCCCAACGCCTTTGCAAAACTCCATCCCGCCGACTGGAATTAGTTACCGGTTCCGCTCCGATCCCGCAGCGCCTGTGTGCGCCGACCCAGGACCTACAAAACCGGGGCCGTCCCGCCCCGGGACGGGATGCGGGTCGGTCCCCTGCGCTCTGCCATGAGCGGCGCCTCGCAACCCCGTGGCCAGGCCTTGCTGCTCCCGGCCGCCCGGGGCGCCCCGGCGAAACGCCTGCTGGACGCGGACGATCCGGCGGCCGTGGCCGCCAAGTGCCCGCGCCTCTCGGAGTGCACGACACCCCCGGACTACCTCAGCCCCCCTGGCTCGCCCTGCAGCCCGCAGCCCCCTCCCGCCGCTCCGGGGGCCGGAGGCAGCTCTGGGAGCGCGCCGGGGCCCAGCCGCATCGCCGACTACCTGCTGCTGCCCCTGGCCGAGCGCGAACATGTGTCTCGGGCGCTGTGCATCCACACCGGCCGGGAGCTGCGCTGCAAGGTAGGCGCCGCGGGCTCGGGAGCCTGGACCGGACCGGATGGGGTGGTGGTGGGAACTTCGAGGGGGGCGCGGTGGCTTTTAATAAAGTGCTTGTGGGCGTCAGAGCTGGGGGTACAGGTGCCTCCCTTCCAAGCGCTGGAGCTGGCGCAGAACGGGGTTAAGCGGGGGAAGGCGGCGTTTGGGCATGTTTACCCTTTGGAGGGGCTCGTGCGGTTTCCGACCGCGTGAAATGCCGAGGGCTCGGCGGTCTCGAGGCCGTGCAAGGCTCACTTGCATTCTCTCCATGTTATTTCCTTTGCGCTCGGAGGAGCGCGTGGCGTTCCATATAAGTTGTGGAATTGAACTGGATCCCAGGGTCCTGCTATTCCAACCGTCTCTCCTGTTCCTCGCACCTCCACCCCCGGCTCTGGAAGGGCGCCTGCCATGGGGTGGGGGGTGGGGAGGGTCTTTGGAGCCAGGAGCAGCAGGGAGCTTCTTGCCGGAGGAACGCAGGATACCCCGGGCACGGCTGTGCGTGGTGACGGGGTGGAAAGACCCTGTTAAGTGTGGGGCCGCCCGGATCTTGGGGATTCCGGTTGCGCTCCGCGCCGGAATCACACTCCCAACCGAGTCGTCCTCCCTCCAGAGCAGATTGAGGAGGGTGGGTGGTCTTCCGGCCGGGTGGGGTGGGGGTGGAAGGACGGAATGTTTAAGAAGTGAGCATGTGGTCGAGTTTTTCCGAGCTAGGAGCTTTCTCATTCATGCCTGTAGCTCCCGGCCAGCGATTTCCTTCCGAACTGACGGAATCGCATCCAGGAGGGAGAACGCCTTGGAACGGGGCGCTCGCTCCCAGCCGCGCGCGGAGACGCAAGATGTTCCCATAGCCCACCCTTCGCTAACGTGAATCCCCCCAGCATCTCAGACATCCCCATAAGCTTGGAGGTGGCTCCTGCTCACCTCAGAGATAGGGTCATCCTCGGTTCAAGTCTCGGTTGCCTGCGTTTTACCTGCGCACCCCCAATCCTGGTCTCTGAGCTAGCTGCTGCCACCTACTGTCCTAACCTGGGTGACATGCCGCGGAACCCAGAGGGCGTGGGGCGGGGGTGTATGCAAGGGGGACTCTTTTGGGAGCCCGGGGTTAGGGGCTTTTCAGGGAACGGAAGAGCCTCGGTGCTGGGGGTGTGAGCTGGGAAGGGAGCGGGCTAGCGAGGGAGCGATTTTTTCTAGCTGGTGCCGGAGCAGCCAGTCCTCAGAGGTGGGCTGGGTCTGGCCGTTGTGCAACCCCTTCCAGTTCCTCCGAGCAGATAATAGCTGAATCCAGATGGTGACAACCCATGTGTCACCGTTTCCAGTTGAGTCTAGGATATGAGTAACTGGACTAAACAAAAGGCCCTTAAAGAGCCCATTGAGCTGCTCACAGGAGACACTAGTGGATTCCCGGGGTGGGTGGGAAGTGTGTGTTGGGGGGAGGGTTGCGGGGGTGGGTGGGTGGGGGAGACTTACAGAAACAGGCAAACACTCTGGCCCAGTCCCAGCGTCTGGGGAGAAGGCATTGACTCTAGCGCCTTGCACCTGAGTCAGACCGGGAGGGGGTGGGGGAGGGGAGGCGGGCTGCTTGGGGCTGAGTTGTCAGTGTCTCCGTCCCAGTCATCTGTTCCTTTCCGACGGATGACAGATCTGCATGTTCTCTGGCCCCTTGTTCAGGATCACCACATTCTGTGCTCATTCCCTGCTCAGGACTTGGGCCCCCGCAGGAAGTCATGCATTTCTAGGCTGGCTCAGCTCAGGGAGGGGAAGGGCAGACACACACCTTCCTTCAGCAGCCGTTTCACCACAGCCTTGTGGATCAGCAGGACAGGGCCCGGGAGGAGAAAGGGGGATCCTGGGGGGCTTTGCTCTCAGAGCTGATGACCTCTAAGAAGGTGGAACCTCTGCACAGAAGACAATTTTCACACACCATTTCCATGGCAGCCTCTTGCACGCTTGCTTCATGTTGCTGGTCTGGGGATTGGAGTGTGAGGGGCTGCCTGGCTGTCTAAGTGGAGCGGGACAGGAAGAAGGGGTGGTGGAGGGACACGAAGGGAGCCTTCCCGCCAGGACAAAGCCTCAAGATTTGGGAGGTGGCCCCTGCTTTTCTCACCCACTCCCCCTCACGGGGTCCCCTCTGTCTCTGCAGGTGTTTCCCATTAAACACTACCAAGACAAAATCAGGCCTTACATCCAGCTGCCGTCACACCGGAATATCACGGGCATCGTGGAAGTGATCCTGGGGGAAACCAAGGCCTACGTGTTCTTTGAGAGGGACTTTGGGGACATGCACTCGTACGTGCGGAGCCGGAAGAGGCTGCGGGAGGAGGAGGCTGCCCGGCTCTTCAAGCAGATTGTGTCTGCCGTTGCCCATTGCCACCAGTCGGCCATTGTGCTGGGGGACCTGAAGCTCAGGAAATTCGTCTTCTCCACGGAGGAGAGGTGAGCAGCTTGCCCAGGCCTTCCTGTGGCTGCTAGGAACTCATGGTAGTGGTGCCACGTTCCCGCACTTAGGGGTGCGTGCGGATTGCCAACAGGGGTCCATTTTCAGTGCTCATGCCAGATGCAGGGTTGCGGAGTTGGTTCTAGGGGAGCCTCAGCTGAGGTGGCATGGTGCTGCTGATGTGGTCTGGGAGAGGCACCTTTGGTGCATCTCTGGGATGCTGCAGGGCCACCAGGATACCCAGGATTACTTGCACACACCCTTCCTTCCCCACTTACACCTGAGGACCAGCAAAGGTGTACTCTGCTGTGCTGACTGAATGCTCAGCTCTCGGGCACCCTGCCGTGCCCCATTGTACCTTCCAGTGGACGTCTCCAAGTCCTTGTCTCATCCTTAGAAGGAATCTCAGAGCTGTGCAGAATCTACCCTCTTTCCCCCAGACTGCTTCCCCCCCGCCTCAGACATTGCTTCCATGTTTTTTTTTTTTGGTGACTTTTGAGACATCTCCGTTGGATCCATCTTCACAAAATAGCGCCGTTGAATAATAAATGGAAGTTGGCTGGAATTGGTTGCTAAATATAGAGCACAGCCTAACTCCTAAAGGACAAGATGAGCCTGATAAGAGGCTAAGGAGACATTAAGGTTCCGAGTGGAGGTTTTAGACAAGAGAATGTGGGAGAGATCCACCTTCCCTGTTTTAAATTTCATTGTTTCAGTGTGGGGGTTTACCCCTGGCAGAATATGTGGGCTGCTTCTAGCTTTGTGCTGGAGAGAATTGGAGGGGGGGTCTCTTCTGACAGTGCCCAGGGGATCATGCAGTGCTAGGGATTCAGCCAGTTCTATGAGCAGAGCGTGCTTTGCATGAGCTTAGTCCTTTAAGCTGCCTCTCTTAATGGCTCAGACCTTACCTCACCTTCCTTGAGGAAAGTGCAAAAGCAATAATACTGTTAGAGAATTGTAGAGGTGGGTGTGAACCTCCTTTTGGGGTTTTTATTTGGTTATTTGGTTCCCTCCTTATTAATGTAGCTCTTCGTGCTTCACTGTGCCTGCCCCTCTCAGCTCCTCAGCTGCTGATTTCCCCCCTGATCTGGAGATCACATGAAAAAAAGCACAGGGTTGGGTTACCAGAGAGGCCTCACTTGTATCTGACCTTGCAATAATGATTGAAACACACTGATTAGCAAAGAAAAGCGGAGTGTTTGCAATGAAGACGTTTCCAATTCCTGGAACATGCTACTTTGCTAGGGTGATGTATTTTCTGAAACATGCCTTACACACCTCTTTACCAGCTTTTGAAATCCACATTGCACAGGCAAATGTCATGTGCAGGGGGTTTGGCAACCCGAGGGTTAAGCAATGGCAGGCTGACGGCACAGGTGCAGGCTTTCAGTACTACAGCAGCCAATCAGGGGCAGGCCGTGTGGGTTGAGTCATATTTTCCGTTTACAGAACCAATGGGTATTTTACATAACGACAGGGAGGTCATGCTGAGGACATACTGAAGTTAGCACATGTATCCTACACTCCAGGGAACAGGAAGGCAGGAAGGGGAAAAAAATGTCCCGAAACAGCCACCACCAGCAGACCTCTGAGAGGAAAAGGAATTGACCCATTAGTCAGGACCAAACGCTTGCATTTAACTTCCCCAGTGATTTACTGAAATCCAGCTGTTTGAGAGAAGCAGGGAGAAGCTGCCCCTGGATATAATCCACGTCCTCTGGGCATTGGGGAATACAGGACACTTGAGTGACTGGGTGTGAACAGGAACCTCTTGTAGCTTCTGAAGAAAGTCTGGGAGTAGAGAGTTGTCAGACATTCATTGTACCCATAGAGTGTAATTAGGTGCAGGTGTGAATGGGCTAATGCCAGAATCTGCGTGTGTGAGTGTGTGTGTGAGTGTGTGTGTGTGTGTGTGTGTGTGTGTGTGTGTGTGTGTGTGTGTGGTGTATCTGTGTGGTGTACCATGGATGGAGGGGGCCTATGTAAGAATGGTATGTGTGTTTGCATGGGCAGGAACTATGCCAATGTTGTAGGGCCTCTGCATCCTGCTTGAACCATCAGCTGCTTCTGCACCCCAAACCTGCTGTCAACATTCTTTATTCCTTTCCCATTGCAGTTGCCACTGTCACTGCTCCGGGTGGGGAACTGTTCCCTCTTTGGGACTGTTCGCTCTTTATGTTGGTCTGGGAGCAGCTGCGCCCACAGCCCCTGCATTAAGATGGCCCTCACTTCTGTAATGCAAAGCAGGGTAGCAGCTGGCTGGACCGGTGACCTGACAAGGAGGGGATGAATTTCTAGGTGGCCCAGGCCCTCTCTGATGAAGCAGGCTGGCCCGGCTTCTTCCCTGACTTTTCTAGAAAAAAATGTCAGCCATTCCCCCCAAGACAAGCTCCCACTCCTGCCTGTGCGCTTCGCAAATTGTGTAATCCCTATTAGGATATCTCTTACCAGCTCTACTATCACGAAGGGTATGTGGGGCTTTGCATCATACCCTCCACCCCAGACGTTCTCTTGATGCTTTGCAAACGTTTATTGCAGTTTGTATTGGTTTTGAAATCCCGAGTCCGGGGAGGTGGCAGGGCCCTGCTGACTGGACTAAGGGGTAAATGACATTCCGGGAGCTTGGGGTTCACAGGGCGGCTGTGCTTGGGAAAGCTTTGCTCCCCAGAGCAGCTCACCTGAAACTCATGACTTCTTTTCTTCCTCTCTGTAGAAACCAGCTCCGACTCGAAAGTCTGGAAGACACGCACATCATCAAGGGGGAGGACGATGCCCTTTCAGACAAACACGGCTGTCCTGCTTACGTCAGCCCCGAGATCCTGAACACCACCGGCACCTACTCGGGAAAGGCAGCGGATGTTTGGAGCCTGGGGGTGATGCTCTACACCCTTTTGGTGGGACGATACCCCTTCCATGACTCAGACCCCAGTGCCCTGTTCTCCAAAATCCGGCGCGGACAGTTCTGCATTCCTGACCACATTTCCCCCAAAGCCAGGTGCCTCATCCGCAGCCTGCTGAGACGGGAACCTTCAGAGAGACTCACAGCGCCGGAGATTTTACTCCATCCCTGGTTTGAGTCTGTCTTAGAACTGGGCTACGGAGATTCAGAAATGGGAACTGCAGACCAGATTGTTCCAGAGTATCAGGAAGACCATGACATTAGTTCCTTCTTCTGCTAATCCCCAAACCTCAGAAACCTCATAATTCTCACACATGGCATTTCCATTTCTAAAGATGGACAGACTTTTCGGCGTGGTGCCAGCCAGAGGCACGATGGCGTGTTAGGAGCCGCCAAGGCAGCGCGGTCCCCCCTTTCTTGTGTGTGCGGCTGCCTGACTTGAGAGATCTAAACGGCCTGCGCTCTGTGAGGAGGGGAAAAAAAAAAACCATTTTTCCACTTCCCGGAACCCTCATCAACTCTCACTGGTCACATTTGTGGGGGAGGGTGTATCGGCATCTTTCCAAGGTGGCAAAGAGTATGGAAAATCCTACACCTTGTAGTCAAATGAAATGGACTCGAATCTTCTAAAGTGAGAGGAAGGGAGCCACACACGGTGGCACTGGGGGGCAGTAACCACACAGTTTGGCAGGGTGAAATAATTGGGCCAATAAACCTGCCATTTTAGAATTCATCCTTGGTAGCTAACTTTTGCCACCCTGGCTTCTAGATTGGATAGTTCCCTGGGGGGAGTTTGGTTTAAGTCTCTTCCTTCACACCCACTTTAACCTGTGATACTTCATCCGGGAGCAGATTGTGTCAGGCGCATAGGATCCTGCCTGAACTATGAACCTAGACTTTCCTCCAATTCTTGCCCAAACCTCATGCACTCAGGCCTTTTCCTGACCTTGACTTTGAAATCCACACCCCCCTTACCCTTAACTTCAAGGAAAAAGCAGTTTTCAGCTAACTGTGCGTGGAAAAATGATCACAAAAGAATTGAACTCCTGCCTTGATTTCAGAACTCTGAGCTCAGACAGAGACAGCAGATTTTTTGGAAATAATTCGAGCATTTGGAAACTCACTTCGCTTTTTCAGTTCCCCTCAAATATGTTTGCTTTTATCCTTGACTTTTCTCTTTCCCCCCTCCCCCTCCCTGCCCCCCAGGATCACCTCAGAGTGGACTAAGTTGGTCAAGAAGGAGAAGAATAGGGAGATTGCCTGAAAGTGAATTTTTGGATAGTCTTAGTTTCACTCTAACCTCCTGATGGAAAAGGTCCGTGTCAGCCATTCTGTGTGTGCCCGCCATTTTGCATGATGGATTGGGTGATGTTTCAGTCGTGGTTTGGTTTCTGAACACATCCATAATCATCAGCATCTGAAATAGGAAGCCCCGCCTCTTGAAAGTCAGAAGGAACTATAAAAGTCATCCAAGTCCACCTTCTCTCATCTTTCTGCCACCTTGCCACACAGAAATCCACTTATCTGCCGCTCTCACAGGCAGGAACCCCGTCTCTCGACGAACACATCCTGAGATGGACATCTGCTACCTACAAAAGGTAGCGCTTCACAGAGACTTGCATTAAAAAAAAACAAAACAAAAAAAATCATCAGTACAGGTGAAATAGCAATGTCTGGGATAGTACTGAACCAGGTGGTGAAACGGGTAATCCAAACATACTGTATTTTGAGAAAAGGCACAAAAATATGAAAACAAACAAAAAAACCAATTACATGGAAGCCACCGGCAGTCACTTTTAAGGGCTATGCCTAAGCAAACTGCTAACATGCATTGTGAGAATGCCGTGTATACCTCACGTACTGTGTACTTTGTACCTATATTTTATCTTTTATACATAACGTCTGTTGTTTTTATTTGTTGTTTTGACTCTGAGGCTTTTTTTGTTGTCTGTGTCTGTCTGAATAACCTGCGTGTCTTAGACCACGTGAAATGTGAATGACTATCGGCAATATTACCTGGACTGAATCCCGGGACTCGGAAGAGCGAGGACTGAGGCTTCTGTGGCATTAATGCTCTGGGGGCTGCCTCGCAGCGTATCTGTGATACAAGAGCCGGCTGAGGACTCGGGGCCGGCTGGGGCTTCTGCCAGGAAAGCTGGAAACACTAGATTGTTCTGTACATGTGTATATATGTGAACAATGAGACAGCCGTTTCTGACTTGTAGAGAAATTTTAATAAATCTGGTTTCGTAAATAGGCCTATGTCCGGTCGGTCTGCCTTTGCCTTTTGCAATTTCAGGCTGGGGATGCAAAGGTCTCTGGCCTCGGGGCCTGGCGTCTCACTGCGGCTGGGGGAGAAGTAAACAGATGTTGTCTGTGATGTGTGACCTTTGACAAATCTGAACACATTTACTTTGGTCATTGAAGTGGGCAGATTCATTTTGGTGGGTGTGAAGCCCCACTGGTGGAATCAGGTGCGTTGAATTCTGAGACGAGAATATTGGCAAGGAGCAGAAATAAATAAGCCTCAAGTTGTAGGAATCCTTCTGGCTTTGGGTGCTTTTTTTTTTCCCAGATCCCTAGAGAATTTGATGAAAACTATGACTATAGCTCAGAAAAATGTACACAGGATTCTGTTAGAATGTTCTAGGCCCTTATATATCCCCCAAGGCACCCCAGCTTCCCATGGAGAACACCACCCCCTTCCCATTAGACTTAATTAAAATGACTAATGGAGCATTTCCTTTTTTCTTCCCTGGAAGTGTAAAAGTGGAAACAAAAGGAACACTAAAACTACATTATTTCGAATCACAAAAGGTAGAGAAAGAAAATTTTGATTTCATTAGACTTAGAGCTTTACTGGTTCAGAATCTATTACAGTGAAGCAAATTAGCATCTCGAGTGATATTTTTTTAGGTTACCTTGTGAATTGTAACAAACCTACCAGAAAAGCCCCCACCTGTTTGTGGATTGGTCTGAATTTTCACAAATGAATCCCCTGGTTTAACCAGTGAGAGCAAAAGGAAAACAAAAGAAACCAGAAGCCTATCCACTCCTAGGCATTCCCCTCTCAGTCCCTGACGTGACCCCTTTCTGAGCATTCCCAGGGAGAGAGACTTAAGTTTGGTAAACCTTAGAATAAGGACCAAGTCATCAGCTCTGAACGGAAATGAAGAGGCATATAGAAATGACAAATGACACAAGCTCTTTCCTACTCTCAGGCTGAGATCACCCAGGAAAGCATGCCTGTGACACTCAAGCCATAGCACTTCTGGATGTGTGACCCAGGAACTTAAGAAAAGCAATTGGAAAAACATCTGAGGCAACATGGGAAACAGCTAAGTTCTCACTGTTGCTTAGCCTCTAGGAAGCAGAGATCAAGGGGTAGGTCTACAGCCTCTCATGCATAGAAGAACCCTAAGCCCCCCAAGAACTTGGGGGCCTCAGAGCGGCCACTGTGGTGTCCTTCCAGCTCTGAAAAGCCCAACGAGGCTCACCCTTCCTCCTTAGGCATTACAGAAGGCTAAAGCTAATACTTTGGACTTCACCGAGCTTTTTAATCTCAGGATTTCAAAACACATTGCAAGCAATTAAGGTTACAACACCTCTTTGTACTGTTGTTACATGCACCAAGTAGAGAGAAATGTGGGTCAGGATTGGCTGTGATGACATGTGATGCCACAAATCCATAAATTTAATCTCTTCAAAGGTTGGAACAAATCTAGGGCAATCGCAACCAGTTACATTATAGACAATTGGTGTAAGTGTGCAGAGTGCCAGTGACAAAGCTGATTGATTTTCTTGTCCCTTGTGTCCTTATCATTTGGACAAATAGTTCAAGTAATATCTCAGTTTCTTTTTATATTTATCTATATCAAACTTCCTAGAAGTTTCACTCTTTCTACAAACCTCTCTTCTTCCTGTTTTCTTTCCTTTTATGTTTGAGTTAAATAGAAAAGTCTAATTATTATTTGCTTTATTTTATAAGTGAGAGAACTGAGACTCGAGTATCTTTCAGTGCCCACTCAGGAGTAAGGTGCTCAGAGCCAGGACGGGAACCTGGGTCTTTGGGCTCCTTGTCCTACATGTTGTAGTGTACTCAGCTGCAGCAAAGTCTTCTGGTAGAAATGATAATTGGAGAAGGTGGTTCGATACAAATATAAATTATGAGTATTTAGTCTCATACACATCTCCAAAATGATCTCCAAAATGACCTAGAGGATCAGCCATAAAGGTGAAAGCATCCCTGAAGGTGAGAGATACATTATTCAGTAAGTGTTTGTTGTAGATCTACCATGTACCAGGTTTAGCAGGAGGTCTTTGGGAAATAGGTGTCTTCACCGAATGGGAAGTAGCATGAGATCAGAGACTGACAGGTGTGTGCTTTTCAGTCCCCAGAATCTAGCACACTTGCCTACCACAAGGCAAGTGTCTGATGCTAACATAAATGGATGGGTGGATGGATGAGTGGGTGGTGGGTAGATGGCGTGTGAGTGGTTGAATGTGTGGCTGGCTGGCTGGCTGGATAGATGGATGGATGGATGGATGGATGGATGGATGAGTGATAGATGAGTGGATGGATGGATGGATGGATGGATGCATGAGGGAGTGTATTAATCACTGTAGCATTGTAGCACTGTCCTGTTGTTCATCGATTTGCTCAAGTGGGCACCAGTAACGTCTCCATTGTGAGACTTGTCACTGGGTTTGGCATATCGAATACGCCACAGGGAGTTTGCCAGGCTCTGTTGTGCCTGCGGGATACTCTTGGTAGCTTGTCGGGCTCTCTGAGAGGGACGGAGGAATCAAACCCGGGTCGGCCACATGCAAGGCAAACGCCCTACCCTCTGTGCTATCACTCCAGCCCACAGCCAGTTACAGGAGTGGATTAAAAGATGGATAAATAAATACATGGATGATTAAATAGATCAAATAGTGGATAGATTAATAGATTAAACAGTGGATGTATGGTTGGATAGATGGGTGGATGGAAGCATGGGTGAATGGGTAGATAGATGGATGAATGGGAGAGTGGCTAGGTGGATGGATGGGTGTGTAATCTCTGGGGCAGCTAGGAAAACCCCGGTGACTCTCCCTCTTGCCTCCTGTGTTAGGTAGTCTCGGGCCATTCCCCTACCTGATGTGGCCCATGGCGGACAAAGGAGATCAGGCCGCTAGGCTGGTTGATGATCAGTTACCGTTTATTCCATTCTCCCCACATGCCTATTCCAGTCTCTCTGAGGCCCCCATTCTAGTCTCACACTGCCCCTCATTCCCGTCTCCTTCTGTCTGTGCTCCCACTCGCAGCTGCGCCTCTCATCTCTCCACGTGTCCGCTGCTGCATTCTTTCCCTACATTCTTCTCTTTCTGTCCCCCTTGCTAGTCCTTCCGTGCTCCATCTTGCTGATCTGACCTCTCTCTCTCTCCTCAACTCTAGCATTGGGGGTAGATACAACACCCTGTCCCGTAGCAAAATCGACATATGAAAGTCTTCTTCTGCTCAAGGGCAAAATACCACTTAGGGGTTTTTCTCCTCTCCTTAGTCCAAAAACTTAAGTAACATCTTACTTCTACTTAATATTAGTTATTTTGTATGGACACAGTAAGAGATACATTGAGGCTTGTAGGGCAACTCCCTGGAAACATCTTGCTACAGACTCAGACTACAGTGCTCAGGCCGGATTAACCACTTCTAACCCTAGCAGGGTCCAAATCTATCTATTACTTTTAAGATCATGACAGAATTTGTCCATGACTATCTCTTAATTTATGGTTAAGCATTATGACCCTTTGGCAAGGCCCATTTAGATGCCAGGGCAGCTCACTAATTGCCCTGGGTCCATCCAGACCCTCATTGGGACCCTGCTTTTGGGGTGCTAGGAAGTAAGGGCAACTGAGGCTTAAGTTGAGAGAACAGATGTCCAGGAGATAATATTATCTGGAGTCAACTAACTCCCAAGTTACAAAAGCATATAGCATTAACTGTCTTTCTGTGTCTATACAAAAAGGACATTGCTCTAAATTAAACTATGCAAAGGACTTAAGGAGAAGAGAAAAATAATTATTTACAAGTTACCAAAGCGCAAAGAAAGAAGTTACAAATAAACACAGACGTGTGGGAGCACTGTGATGGGCGTAACCCAATAAACCTAAGCTCCCTGTGGTGAGGCAGGAAGGACAAACCAAAGTTATCCTATAGATGGGTGGATGGATAGATGGATGGATGGGTAGGGAGATGGATGGATGGGTGAGTGGATAGATGAATGGATGGGAGGGTGGCTAGATAGATGGATTGGTGGATAGATGGGTGGGTGGATGGATGCGTGGTGGATGGATGCATGGTAGGAGGTTGGGAAGATGGATGTATGGCTAGGTGGATGTTTTTAGCTAGTTTAGCGCTTAGTGGACCTCTGAATTAAAGGGTCAGGACACATCAAAGAGTTCAGTCAGGGGCCGGAGCGATAGCACAGCAGGTAGGGTGTTTGCCTTGCACGCAGCTGACCCGGGTTTGATCCCTGGTATCCCATATGGTCCTCAAAGCACTGCCAGGAGTAATTCTTGAGTGCAAAGCCAGAAGTGCCCCGTGAGCATTGCTGGGTGTGACCCAAAAAGCAAAAAAAAAAAAAAGAGTTTAGTCATATATTGTGCCTGGGTCACATCCTAGCTCTGAAGTCCTTTTGCTATATGACCTTGAACAAGAGGGATCTGTCACTCAGGCTCTCATATATTCATCTCTAAACAAACAGGAGTGATACTCTAATTTCTTCTGTCTTTTTAATATCATTCTGTAGCACTGTAGCACTGCAGCACTGTCCTCCCGTTGTTCATCGACTTGCTCAAGTGGGCACCAGTAACGTCTCCATTGTGAGACTTGTTGTGACTGTGTTTGGCATATTGAATACGCCACAGGGAGCTTGCAAGGCTTTGCAGTGTGGGCGAGATACTTTTGGTAGCTTTCTGGGTTCTCCGAGAGGGGCCGAGGAATCGAACCCAGGTTGGCCATGTGCAAGGCAAATACCTTACCCACTGAAATAAAAAACAATCATTAAGTAAGGACTACAGCCATAGAAGTGCATTATATCAGTAAATACTATCTTAGGAAAAAAATGTCAAAAAGTTTTCTAAGTTTCTAATTCAGGAAATGTAAAGGAACAATAGTAGTAAATCCAATCATATATACATACACTGAAAATAATAATGGTAGTTCAAAAATAAATACTATAAACATTTTGAAAACGTCTTAAAACAAGGTTTGTTT